TTGCCTCCTGACCCCTCATCTGAACTCCCTGTTGCCGACCTTGGACTGTCTTTTGCCCCTGAACCCTTGCTGCCCGCCTCGACCCGGAGTGGACCTTGACTTCTCTTTTGGATTGCCCCTTTGTACTTCTGCCTTCGGATGCTTCAGGCCAGTTCCTGCCAGTGGGTTCCACTCCACGCTGCCAAGCCAGCGGCACGTCTGACAACAGTCTTCCTGAGATAAGAGCTGAAGTTTAGCCACCTAAAAGAAATCTTCTACACTCTATCGGGGTCCTTAGACTGAAACTGTGCTTATCATGCACAATAAAGTATTTACATAAGCAGTACGACCAATAAATGCACTTTAAAAGAAGCTCTCCCTCACCTCTGTAGCTAAAAGCGCTGTTGAGAAATTCACCTTCAAAAGTCAAAACAGAAGCACGTAAATCTTGCACCAGAATCAAGGACACATGTCAGCCCTCTAATGTAAACACACAGCGGGTGTTCCAAAGCTGTTAGAAACTGGCTAAAATCCAACTTTGTGATCTTTGAGAATGAATTACTTCTCAGTACAAACAGCTAGAGAGGTCAGGGCACATGTGCACTTTAAACTTAGAGATCCAAGAAGTCACACACCTACCCTTTAAATAAAATCCTGACAGATGTCCTAACCATTCCGCACCCTACCCAAACCCAAAAGAGTGTGGTAGGTTGTGAAGAATGCAGGCAAATTAGGAAAATTGCATTAGTCAATATGTTTATTCCCTAATAAAGGTGCAGCTTTTTTAATGTCTCCAGACTGTAGTTGTGTAAAATCAACCTGGCCTACAATATAGAGCCACATGCAAACATTTGGGTATCTCAGTATGTGTTGCATGCCTGTCATTTACTTTCATATATTCAGTAATCGATAAGGATTTATCAAATTAGTAACTATGCGTAAAATGAAACATATAATTTGACCAAGAAAGCACATGAGTTTGCTAAAGATTGTACAGTATATTGAAATATCTGGTGTCCATGTTCTCCTCCCCCTGCCTGTGTTAGGCAGATGAGCCATCTGTCAGAGAAACAGACACGTGGCTGGATTGCGGCTTCAATGGAGAAGATCTCGATTCAAATTGCACAACAAATAATACAAACTGATGTTAAATTTCAGCAAGTGGAAATCTGATACAAAGTTTGCTAAAACTTCTTGCAGCATATTTATTAGACATGTAAATACTGTAGTTTTGTTGCACATGGATATTCGTACAAATTCCGTTACATTCGGACGCAAATTAATCCGAATGTTTCTTTAACAAAAACTTTTGTTCAAAACTAAACTAAATTGTTCACGTGACCGTTCTCTAGCCAATCAGATGGGGTTTTTTTGGCTGTTGGGGGTTGCCTTATAGGCACGGTCATGTGACTTAGTTCCGAAACTAAAATTTGGATGGATCCGAAATCCGAATAACGAAATGGGTCAGAAATCCATAAAAAAAGGAAACAGTAATCCAAATGAATCCAAAACGAATCAATTTTTTTTGCGGGGTTACATGTTTAATATTTAGACTACATTCACACTAGGTGTGAATGTGTGTTCAGGGATTCCTGCAGCGGGAACCTATCCTATTCCTAACTTCATGTAATTGTATGACATACAATTACATGTGGAGTGCCTGTGGACTGCTACTTTCAAATGTGGCCGCTGTCACCTGATCATTAACCTGAACAGGTGACAGCGGCCGCTTCTAAAAAGCATATTTGGGATTCCTGCTGCAGGAATTTGTAGGTTCGCTGACCGTTTTTTTAAGCAATGCAAATGTATCCAGAGGGAATAGGTGGAGAGGAGAATGGCTATACAATGTATACTCCCCTTACCTCAGTGTCCTTTGATTAGGTGCTTAAAAAGTCCATAGTGATTGGCTCCTAGTGTGATACCACAGAAAGTGCTGATGTTGCAACTGCTCCAGGGCCCAGGACTTGATTGTGTCCAGAAATAATTGCTGCTCTGTCTTTGCTCACCAGCTTTGTCACAGTTTGTTTCCCTTTCCTCCGCATCCTGTTTCTGTTATATCCTGAGTCAATTCCTAAAGGAATCAGATATCACACTGCGCCTGCATTTGATGCTGTTCATAGCATGTAGGCTACTCCTGTGGTGTCCCACGGAGTGTTGTCTGCATAATGCTACAGAAAATACTTTATGATTGGTGGAGGGGCTGGTCACACAACTTTAAAAGGTCCTGTGGCTGAGCTTTCCTCTTCCTGGCATTTTTTTTTCTCCACTCAATGAAATTCACTTGTTTTCGAATGCTCAACCAAGTAAAACTCTTAACCAGTTTATGAAGCAACCCGCTGTGCTTTTTTCTTCACCCTAAACCAGAATATGGCCATGCTGCTGATTTAGAAATCTGGCCCTCGAGGTTCTTAGATAAAGGACAAACTAGACCACATTTTATTAAAGGGCGCCTTTCTCAATAGAAACCTCAAAGCTGCTATTGCTGACCTCCTATCATGCACATACCACTTGTCTGACTGCCATGCTGACACTCGTGCTTCAATATATTGGGGTTGATTTATAAAGAATTCTCAGGGCCGTTCACACTGTGCATTCCTGTGAACGTTTGTCCCATGTGCACAGTATATATGTTTGTGGTGTCATTGGTGAGGAAGGGGCGTATTTTTGAGATGTTACGAAGGTGAAGGCGGCAGGCAAACAAACGTTCTTTCAGTTTTTCTTTTATAAGTGTAATTAAATTTGAATGTTTTGGTTGTAATATTGTATTATGGCCACTAGATGGCGCTAAAGGAGCATAGAAAATACATATTTATTATGCCGTTTAGTGCCATCTAGTGGCCATAATGCCATATTGTAACCTGAACATTCGAATTTAATTACACTTGTAAAGGAAAAAAAAACTAAAGAACGTTCGTTTGTGAATATACACGCACAGAACAAATGGTCACAGATATCTGCATAACAAACAGCCCTGATAATTCTTAATAAATCCCTAATGCAGAACAAGTATGCAAATAAACATCTCAGACTTTATTCTGATATTCCCGATATACATAAATGTACTGTATATCTCAAAATACTGAAGTCAGTGGGTCAGCAAAGCAGCACAACTAGCTGTTTCAAAAGGAGCTCAGCAATGGCAGCCTCCTCATTCCTCTCAGGAAAGATTAACTTTAAAGGCATTTTAGCCACTCTAACGTGAGGATCAAGCAACATAATGCAAAGCATGTGTACATAAGATCGGTGCTAATGTACCTTTCATGACTTGGCGATGTCGTTAGTTCTTTTCAGCTGATATGAGACGGACCGCACGCTACTGTCTCAGTGTTCCTCTGTAGATAACATCTTTTATGCTCTGTGCAATACAATGAGTGTAGGTGCTGAATGATGGAGATATCTCAGAACAGAGGAGGATCTAACTCAATATATCATGAGGATTGGGACTAATGCAAGTGAGAGACGCTCTGCAGTGTACCTCAGGCATTAAAGCAAAACTTAAAACAGAACTCCGGGTAAAAATGTTCTTAGCCCTTGCATTAGGGCTACCCCCCGCCCCCACTGCAACGGTTAAATTATCATTTTTGTCTGGGTTAAAAAATTACAGTTATACTCACTTGCCAGCTTGCTCTTAGGCCTCGTTCACACCGGACTCAGTGGGTTCCGGCCCCATTCTGGCCAGAACGCACTGCATCGTATTGCGGCCGGCTCACTATGTTGTGGGGGTAGCAGGGGTCGTGGTGGTCCATTAAAGTGAATGGCATTGTAGCCACGCCCTCCGGCCGCACCTTTTCGGCATCCCCTCCGCTAGCTATTGCACCCGCCCACTGCTGCTGTCAATCAGCAGAGGTGGACCTGAAGTTCTCCTTTGCTGATTGACAGCAGCAGTGGGTGGGTGCAATAGCCAGCCTGCTATTGCAATTTAAAATGGCCAATCACGGCCTTGCTATTCATTCCCCTGCTATCTGTTTTTTTTTTTTATTCTGAGGTCAGCCGGTTAGAATACGAAAAAAACAGCAGATAGCAGGGGAAGCATTCGTTTCTGTTGCTTGGTTTTTGACAGAAAAAAAAGTGTCCCATGCATGGCACATAATAGTGCAGAGATTTTTTGCCACGCGGATATGACACCAATGAGGACGTGCGGCAAATGCGCATTCCCAAGGTAGGGTGGGGGCTAGGCCTAAGCAGTGTCTGGCCCCTTGTGTGCTGGCAGCTTTTGATTATGCTATAGACTAGGGGTAGGCAACCTTGGCACGCAAGATGATGGGGAACTACAAGTCCCATGAGGCATTGCAAGACTCTGGCAGCCACAGGCATGACTCCCAGAGGGTAGCTGTAGTGCTAAGGTTGCCTACCCCTGCTGTAGACCACTTAGGCACCAGGATTCTCCTTTCCGGCCCCAGGTTGCTAAGAGCCCCCTCCCAAAATGAATGTGTTATCTTATAGAAGAACTCCCGTTCCAATGAATAACTGAACAAAAAAAAATCAAAAATCAAGTAACAGAACACTGAGGGGAAGTTATCAAAAAATCGAAATCTGGAGCAGTTGCCAGTGGCAGCCAATCAGCTCCTTACATTCATTTCAAAGCATATTTGAACAAACTAGAGAGATGCTGATTGGTTGCCATGGGCAACTGCTGCAGAATTTGCTCCTTTTTTGATAAATCCCCCCCTGTAGGTATGGTTCATGTCATGCACTGCACACATCCGAAATACTGCGCCCTCAGCATCGCTGTATCACAAATTAGCGCATGAAGAGTTAACTCCCAAAGCAATAAAGGGGGGCGTCACCCTCCTAGCGCACGGCGCTCATACTTGGGTCCAGGCCGGCTATTGGCCGGCTGCCTAAAATGTCGCCCCTCCCTCGGGGATCTCATTGGCCGAGAATCGGGATGCTTCCACGCCTTCCACCGAACAACACATACACACACCCTGCACATGGGAAAGGGGGCGTAGCGGAGAACTTCTCCCCACGTGACGCAAGCTGGCAGGGAAGCCGGGGAGGCGAGCTGAGCAGGGGATTGGGGAGCCGAGGAGAGGACGTGCGGGGACACGGCGGATGTGAGCGCTTCTCAGGTACGGTGTTGTATTGTGCATCAAGGGCTGATGTCACGTGACTGTCCGTGGAGGTGTATGGAGAGCAGGCTGGGGGGTAGTAGACTGGGGTCCGGTGCTGCCTATAGTTTGGGGGGATCTGCGGGTTGTGTAGTTCAAGTTGGCCAAGTGTTCTTTCTGCATCCAGTTACATGCACGGACGGGAACCCATCATCTCCGCTTCCCCGAGCTTGTGCCCGTTCACCTGTCTTCATACACCGGTCATTGTTCTGTGCGATGGTGATGGCTCTGCATGGCAGAACATTGCATAGATTTGTACTGTAATCCATACAGGTTGTGTGTGCTCCTATGTTGCTGCAGATGTTCTGTCTACAGAGGAATGCATCTCATTGCAAAATCATGTACTTCGGGGGAAATAATCCTCTGTTATAATAGTACAATAATGGGGTACCGTGCAGAACAGAACTACAGAGGATGATTGGAATATGAGTAACCAGTGGCCAGATACAGGGAGTAGAATTCTGGCGAGCATCACTAGAGGGATCCTTGACAGGAGGAAGGAGGACCTGATTTCTAGATATAGATCTTTAATTATCACTAGAGGGATCCGTGGCAGAAGGTCCTAATTCCCTGATATAGATCTTCAGTTATCACTAGAGGGATCCCCATCAGGAGGAAGGAGGTTCTGATTCCTCCATATAGACATTCAGTTATCACTGGCAGGAGGAAAGAGGTCCTGATTCCACTATACAGATCGCTCGTTATAACTAATGCAATCACCAGCAAAAGGATGGAGGACCTGATTCCACTTTATAGATCTTCAGTGATCACTAGAGGGATCCCTGGCAGGAGGAAGGAGGTCCTGATTCCTCCGATATGGATCTTCAATTATCACTAGAGGGTCCCTGGCAGAAGGTTGAGGTTTATGAATACAGATCTTCAGTTATCAGTAGAGGGATCCCTAGAAGGAGAAAGGAGGTCATGATTTCTCTATATAGATCTTCAGCTATCACTTGAAAGATCCTCATCAGAAGTAAGGATGTCCTAATTCCTCTATACAGATCTTTAGTTATCACAATAGGGATCCCTATCAGGACGAAGAAGGTTCTGATTCCTCCATGTAGATCTTCAGTTATCATTAGTGATCCCTGGCAGGAGGAAGGTGGGCCTGATTTCACTGTACAGATCGTTAGTTATAACTAATGGAATCACCAGCAGAAGGCTGGAGGACCTGATTCCACCATATAGATCTTTAGTTGTCACTAGAGGGAACACCAGCAGAAGGAAGGAGGACCTGATTCCACCATATAGATCTTTAGTTGTCACTAGAGGGAACACCAGCAGAAGGAAGGAGGTCCTGATTCCCAGATATAGATCTTCAGTTATCACTAGCGGGAGGATGGAGGACCTGATTTCTCTGTATAGATATTTAGTTATCACTAGAGGTATCCTCAGGACAAAGGAGGTCCTAATTCCCTGATATAGAACTATAGGCCAGGTTCTTGCCTAGGCAATTTATTGCACGGATTTAGTCGGCCAATATCTGGCAAAACACAGGTTCACATTGAAGTCAATGGAGGCTGTTCTCATCTTTGTGTTGAGTCGCGCGGGCAAAATCGCCTGTCGTGCAAAAAGGTGCAGGAGCTATTATAAAAATAAAAATATCTTGATCCATAGTCTACTCCTCATTATACTTGGGGGCTGCAACTTTGTTCATGTGACACCAGAATTCAACCTAATTGTCATCTTCCTTTATGAATACAGTGATACCAGCAGACAGGACTTCCTACACTTGTGTTGGAGCCAGCTAAGCTTTGCATGGGTGTCCCTGAGACATCCTATACAAGTAGTTGGAGTGGTGATTGAACCCTCTGATATCTACCCATAGGATCGTAGCTGAAGTGTCTTTTCTGGGTGCACTGATCTTTGAAATGTATCCAGATAGTATTACATCCTAATGCTGTATAAATGTATACAATAGGCTCGGCTGTGACCAGAATGAGTCTCAGTGCTGTACTGATTTGGCGTTTGGAGCACAAAAATGCAAAGCTAAAGTAGAACTGAAGCCACCTTATTGTATTTTGGTTAGAGTAGGTTGGCAAGCTGACAGGGGTTATACCCAACCCGGGGGGAAATTTCCCTACACTTCCTGTCCGATAACCACAACGGGAAGTTAGAGAAAACCCTTATGGTCATCAAGGTTACCAGAACTAGTGTTCTCATTGGAAAAGTTCTCATCTATTCTTCTCTACTGTACACCAGACTAGACAAAGTTTTGGCTTCAGTTGCCTCTCATAAGCTGCCCCCTTGGTGTTCATAGAATGTCATTATTTTTTCGCCATAGGGAAGTCTGTAATCTAGAACACGATTGAATTGTTGATTTAGTTTGCTCTGTGTATCTTGTGTTTACCAAAGGAGAGATGAGCAGAAAACTTTTATGAAGCGGAGCTGTGTGCCATTAAGGCTGCTGCCGGGGAACTCGAATATAGTTCAGTCAGTTTTCGATATACAGTATGTTTGTGTGCAGATTTTTTAAAAACACAATCTGATTGTTTGCTCTGGGTTACTTCACTCCCTTGTCTTCAAATGTTTATCACTTATTCAGTAAGCAAGGTAGCAATGAACTTGGTTAAGTCAAATAAGCTGAATATTGATGCATATTAATGTAATTCCTTCAAATTCTTTATTTTATAGCTGCAAATGGATAGAGTTCCTAGATTCCTGTGACTCTGGATGTTTGATCTGGGCATCGGTCTGCTGAATTTTTCAGTGATATTGGCATACATAAGTTCTGGTCTAAATATGGGGAACATTTGAAGTGACACTGAACTCAGACGTTAAATCATAAAGATGGATTAATTAATAACAAAAATGTTTCTTATTTTTGTTATTAATTAAGGAAGAAGGAAGGACAGTGTCGGCACCAATTCAGAGATGGATTTGAGGATCTACAGCTGAGTGATGCACAAATAAGAAACATTTTTGTTATTAATTAATCCATCTTTATGATTTAACGTCTGAGTTCAGTGTCACTTCAAATGTTCCCCATATTTAGACCAGAACTTATGTATGCCAATATCACTGAAAAATTCAGCAGACCGATGCCCAGATCAAACATCCAGAGTCACAGGAATCTAGGAACTCTATCCATTTGCAGCTATAAAATAAAGAATTTGAAGGAATTACATTAATATGCATCAATATTCAGCTTATTTGACTTAACCAAGTTCATTGCTACCTTGCTTACTGAATAAGTGATAAACAGTGTTTTTAGTTGGGGTACTTGAATTTAACTCCTGAATTTAGTGTCACTTTTAAAGACTGCATTTGAAGCACTTAGAAAAAGTACAGCAAGTGCTAGTATACAAGGTTTTATGGGAACCCTTCATTTGAGATGTTCCTGAAGCCAGCAATAAATTAATCAATTGGCTTGTATATGCTTACCTTGGGGTGGTTCTACTTCCCATGCTGTATTGAGTGTAGGGTAGGTGTACATCCATGAGAACTCAAGTATAAGAAACCATTAGGTGGGTTATCTTACAAAAGCTCCCAAAAAATTTTTTTGGGTTACTGACCTGTAACAGGCATCTTTTACTTTCATTCTGTTTCCTAGTATAGTGACTGAGTGAGTTATTTCAAGCCCTCCTGAGAGCTGTTTACATTATAATGACCCTACTGTGCTTGGTCATTCACCTCTGATCATGACAGTGCTTTGGGGCTGTGGTTTGGGTAGAAGTCCAGTAAAGTAGGCTTTTTTTTTTTTAGTTGAGGCGTTGTGCCTGACAGATTCTCATAAAATTCAGGGCCCAGTCCAATTGTGAAGTCAGAATGATGTCTAAGGAAACAAGCAACATGCAGTTCCATCAACATTATATGTACCTTAAGAAGTCAACCACCATGTTGGCACATTGCTTACCTAGATCCTAGAATATGTGAAATGCTAGACATTGGCTAGTTTGGAATTTTCCAGCAAAACCATGTTTCTATGTCTCTCATCTAATGGCTAAATGTTCCCATCTGTGACTGTTTTATTACATACCAAGTTATGGTGGCAGTGATCTAGGTCAGTGACGGACTCCTTCATATGGAATTCAGGAGAAAGGGTGTCCAATCCAGGAGCCAGCAGGATTTCTTAAGGACCAGCACCATTGACAACAACTAGAGAAAACCTCAGAGGTTAGGCACCAGCTGTGATTTTGTTTTTAAGAAGTATTGGCTATCTGGCTCCTGGGGTTTGTCAAGACCTGATCTAGGTTCATTGTATTGAACCATTTCGTATTTGTCCCCCAAGTTTGTGTATTGTTTTAGCTGTGAGTAGCCAGTGTCAGATTTGCCAATATTTAAACCCCAATACAATAGGTTTCAGATCTGGTCACTCTAAACCAGATTCAGCCATGTTTATTGGGCTGTCAACACAATGGCTTGACTATCTAGAACCGGGTTAGGCAACCTCTGCCCTCCAACTGTGCTGAAATGATAAATACCATCATGACCCTGCATCTGGGAGTCATGCCTGTGACTCTGTCTTGCAGGGCTTCAAAGGACTTGTAGTTCCACAACAACTGGAGTGCTGAGTTTGCCTATCCTTGATGCTAAAAGTAAATCAGCCTAGTCTCACCTATTCTGCCAGGTTACACATCAAACGCATAGTTTGAGCAAGAAAACCCATTCTTTTCAAATTATGCCCTTGACAATTATGAAGATAGATTATTTTTCCCTTGATATGCTTTCAATGGAACCTCCTTGTGTATTGTAGCTGAGGCTGTAATTCTCCATGGAGACGGATATTACATGAGGCAATTCTGTGATAATGTTCACAGCTGCTCTCTGAATTCTTGTGCCGTGATTTCCAGAGGAAAACCTATTGTTTTGCCGGAGCTGGTTGAATACATGTTTTTACCCACAATGCATGAAGGCCAAGAGGAAGCTTCGAGGTCAATACACTTGCTAATAACTAATTTAATGTGACATGTTTATAAGTGTTTGTAACTTCCTATTGAGTAGCAGTAACAAACCTCTTC